AATTTAAGGCGGCGGCGGCGGATTAGGTTTAGCAGGGAAGTTGGGGACGGCTTCTTTTTCTTTTTCTTTTAATTGTGATAGATATGTCATGACTTAACAAGTGCATATTCACCAAAAATAAAGCATATTAAAGTAGCACTTATTTTGTTCCAAGTATTTTGCATACATATATGGAATATGCCATAAATAAATGTGCATGATTATCATCCAAAAACACAGATTGAACATTAATATTAATGATTTTTTTAAACGGTCAAATGACAGGATCAAATATTTTGAAACGGCCAAATGAGAAGATGCAATATCTTAAAACGGCCAAATGACAGAGATTCAATATTTTGTTCATTGTTTTAATCCAAATAAATTTTCCTTAAATTTTCCTCAAATGACAGAGTGATTTGATAGAAAATGGTACATGTTGAACATGTATCATTTTTGCTATCTTTGTTATTGATCTTACCTTTTTAGTGTTTTATGTAGCTTTTTCTTTGTCTGTTATACAAATTCAACATTTGTTTTGCTCATTGTTTAAGAATTCCGGTATAAAAAAAAAAATGATTAGTGTTCATGTTATATATATAATGAAATGATTTGACATGATTAAATTTATTTATAGGTATTGTATCTTAAATTCAACTCTATGTATTTTAATTGATGCAGGTACGTCATTTGATTTGTCTACGGTTACACTTTCGTTACAAACACTACAATTTCTTACTAATACGTGTTTTATCATTCAAGAATCGGGTATATATTTTTTTCATTATTGGAAATCTTTTATAATTGTTAAGTGTATGTGTCATTATAAGAAATATTGTTTTTTAATATGTTTTTTCTTAATTGACTATTATTTAACCTTTCTTTTTAGGTGTTTCTTTCGTAAATTCTCAACGACCGTTTCAAAATAGTTGATGATCATAAAAACACATATTTATAATAAAATGCTGATATTTACACTCTTAGATAAAATACAAATCATCCTCAATAATTCTTTCCTCTATTATATCTTTTTCCGTGCAAATGTACGGGGTAAAACTAGTTATAAATTAAAGATGAGGGTAAGGATATTAAATAACAATTATAAATTAACGATGTGAGATTAACATATCATATAATTTACGGCATATCAGTTTATTATAAACGATATAACATTAGCTTGTTCAAGAGAACATAAAAATTATATATTTAAACAATTTTTTT